AATCTGGGATGTAACGCTTGGTTATTGTGGAAATCCTAAAAAAAAATGGGATTGGGAATGGATGGGATTCCCAAAATCCCTGAATCTGGGATGTACTGCTTGGCCATCCAGGAAATCCTAAAAAAAATGGGATTGGGAATGGCTGGGATTGCCAAAATCCCTAAATCCAGGATGTCCTGCTTGGTTATCGTGGAAAAGCTAAAAAATATGGGATTGGGAATGGCTGGGATTGCCAAAATCCCAGAACTCGGGATGTCCTGCTTCGTTATCCAGGAAAACCTAAAAAAATAAATGGGATTGGGAATGGCTGGGATTCCCAAAATCCCAAAATCTGGGATGTAACGCTTGGCTATCTGGGAAATCCTAAAAAAAAGAAATAAAAGAAATTCCCCAAATTTGGGATTTTCCTCAGGTTCTGCTGGGAAAAAGCAAAACAAAAACCAGGATTGGGAGGTGCCAAAACCTCCCAAAATCCGGGATTTTCCTGGGGTTCTGCCCCAAAACGGGACCGGGAGCTCCCGGAGTTCCCGGAATTGGGATTTCCATGGGATTTTCAGGGGATTTTAGTGGGATTTTAGCGGGATTTTCACAGGGATATTCACGGGATTTTCAGGGGATTTTTCAGGGGATTTTCATGGGATTTTCTTGGATTTTCACAGGATTTTAGTGGGATTTTCAGGGGATTTTCACAGGATTTTCATGGGATTTTCATGGGGTTTTCATGGGGTTTTTCAGGGTATTTTCAGGGGATTTCCACAGGATTTTCAGAGGATTTTCATGCGATTTTCACGGGATTTTTCACAGGATTTTCGTGGGATTTTCAGGGGATTTTCATGGGATTTTCACGGGATTTTTCACAGGATTTTTCACGGGATTTTCCCGGGGTTTTCATGGGATTTTACAGGGGATTTTCGCGGGATTTTCACAGGATTTTAGTGGGATTTTCAGAGGATTTTCATGCGATTTTCACAGGATTTTTCATGGGATTTTCGTGGAATTTTCAGGGGATTTTCGCGGGATTTTTAGGGGATTTTCACGGGATTTTTGTGGGATTTTCATGGAATTTTCAGGGGGATTTTCATAGAATTTTCACAGGATTTTCAGGAGATTTTCACAGGATTTTCACGGGATTTTTGTGGGATTTTCATGGAATTTTCAGGGGGATTTTCATAGGATTTTCACAGAATTTTCGCGGCATTTTCAGGGGATTTTCACGGGATTTTTCACAGGATTTTCAGGGGATTTTCCAGGGTTTTTCCCTGGTTTTCCCAGGTTCCCACCTGTAGTCCTGGAGCTGCTCCTGGATCTCGGGGATCACCCATTCCTGCGCCTCCAGCAGCGCCGGCCGCAGCTCGTCCCCGTTCCGCAGCCGCAGCTCTGGCAGGGAATGACAGGAAAAATCCGGGATTTCGGGAAAATTCCGGGATTTGGGGAAAATTCCGGGATTTTGGGGAAGTTTGGGAATTCCCAATCCCGGCCCCGGGGCTGCTTTTCCCGGGTGAAATTCCCGGAATTCCCAACTCACCGATCTCAGCCAGGAGCGGCTCCGGCAGCTTCACCCGCAGGGGCTGCAAAACAGGGAAAGGCAGCCCAAAATATGGGAAAGGCACCCCAAAAATCTGGGAAAAGCATCCCAAAATCCTGGGAAAATCCATCCCAAAATCCTGGAAAAGTATCTCAAAAATACGGGAAAATGCATCCCAAAAATACAGGAAAAGCATCCCAAAATCCTGGAAAAGTATCCCAAAAATCTGGGAAAATCCATCCCAAAATCCTGGGAAAATCCCTCCCAAAATCCTGGAAAAGTATCCCAAAAATNTTTCAGGAGATTTTCGCGGGATTTTTCACAGGAATTTCACGGGATTTTCAGGGGATTTTCAGGAGATTTTCACGGGATTTTTTGCGGGATTTTCACGGGATTTTCGCGAGATTTTTCACAGGAATTTCACGGGATTTTCAGGGGATTTTCGCGGGATTTTTAGGGGATTTTCGCGGGATTTTCAGGAGATTTTTGCGGGATTTTCAGGGGATTTTCACAGGATTTTTCATGGGATTTTCGTGGAATTTTCAGGGGATTTTCACAGGATTTTTAGGGGATTTTCACGGGATTTTCACAGAATTTTCACGGGATTTTCACGGGATTTTTGTGGGATTTTCGCGGGATTTTTAGGGGATTTTCACGGGATTTTCCCGGGATTTTCATGGGAATTTCATGGGATTTTTCAGGGGATTTTCGTGGGATTTTCACAGGATTTTTAGGGGATTTTCACGGGATTTTCCCGGGATTTTCATGGGAATTTCACGGGATTTTCACAGGATTTTAGTGGGATTTTTCAGGAGATTTTCGCGGGATTTTCAGAGGATTTTCATGCGATTTTCACAGGATTTTTCATGGGATTTTCACGGGATTTTTCACAGGATTTTCAGGGGATTTTTCAGGGGATTTTCGCGGGATTTTCAGAGGATTTTCATGCGATTTTCACAGGATTTTTCATGGGATTTTCGTGGAATTTTCAGGGGATTTTCACGGGATTTTCGCGGGATTTTTAGGGGATTTTCATGGAATTTTCACAGGATTTTCAGGGCATTTTCACGGGATTTTTCAGGGGATTTTCGTGGGATTTTCAGGGGATTTTTCACAGGATTTTCGTGGGATTTTCACGGGATTTTAATGGGATTTTCATGGGATTTTCGCAGGATTTTCAGGGGATTTTCATGGGATTTTTCAGGGGATTTTCGCGGGATTTTCACAGGATTTTAGTGGGATTTTCAGGGGATTTTCGCGGGATTTTCAGAGGATTTTCATGCGATTTTCACAGGATTTTTCATGGGATTTTTCAGGGTATTTTCATGCGATTTTTACAGGATTTTTCATGGGATTTTCGTGGAATTTTCAGGGGATTTTCACGGGATTTTCATGGGATTTTCCCGGGATTTTCATGCGATTTTCACGGGATTTTCACAGGATTTTCAGGGGATTTTTCACAGGATTTTCGCGGGATTTTCGCAGGATTTTCACGGGATTTTCACGGGATTT